ACGTACAAATTAATTTTTTTTAAAAAACCCATGTGCTATCTTGGAAATGCACTCTAGTTTTATTCTCATATCAGCCATGTTATATAATGAGGGTAAGCTCTGCTGATAAGTGCCCTGAAAACAGCAATTTTATAACTGAACAGGCCATTGGAGGACACAGATATATATATGAGCAATTATTGGCGAGCTGCAATTTTTAATAATATTTTTCATTAATTTAATTTAATATATATTATCTCCACCTCAAATTAGTAGTGACTTCCCCCTGTAATCATATTTTTCCTTTAACAACAGAGTCTTGCCAGTCATCTATCTAACATCATTCACAGGAAAATTTTTGAATTGAAATAACAAGACTTTCTGTTTGCATTGAAAGTTCTTATATAATTAATTGGAACCATCTGCCCCTAAGGTTTCCATATCTGGTTTCACCTTTCATCTGTCTAACTTTGTTCTCAAGATTAAGGCAAAACAGACAGATTGATGAATAAACAACAGTGGGAATTTACAAGTCTACAATTTTTTCAAATTTCAGCTCAATAAAGGGAAGAAATCAAGTTTGTAAAACACTAGTTTTGATGTGATTGTCAGCAAATTGTATATTTAAATCCAGAAAGCAAGCCTCTTAATCTCTCATTTGTTACAGTTCAAGCTTCAAGCCATATGGATTGTTGTTCATGTATACTAAAAATCCATTTATATCAGGTTTTAACTTCCAAATAATACAGATATCATCAATATATCTTTTATAAATTAACATGTGTTGGCAGAAGAATGAGAAAACTTAAGCCTTGAGTAGTCATATGACTAATTCACATAAGTCATTGTTGAACTGAAAGCAAGAAAAGTAACACATTAAGTATGTTAATTCCAAAATTTTTTGGTAGTGAGTTAGATTTGCTACACTCTTAATTAACTAATCATGGAATACATAGAAACATGGCTGCAACTTGAAGTATGAATATAATGATTTGATAAATATAAATATAATGATTTAAAGTCTGAAATTGTGATGCACATTTCAGTTGTTGGTGTGGTTTGTCTCAACAAAGCAAACAGTTCCTTAGAATTAGATACTGTGAGAGTCGAGTTTAGTGAATAAATTCGTTAAATAAAATTTTTGTTAAGGGAGGAAAAGACAAAAAAATTTAACTTCAAATTGCCATAAAAAAAAGACATAAAAATCTTTTCCCACGAACTTAGTTCCTTGTCAAGCATGATACATCGAATGTGTCACCCGAAATCTCGAAAAAGACTATTGGTCAAAGAAAAAAGAACAGTCCTAATAAGGCAGTGGAAAAAACCCAACGAGACCCCCTTTATAAAAAGGAGGGGTCGATACGTAAGAGTCAGTCTCTGGAAATTTGTGCGCACTGTGTTTTTTACAAAAACGGATAAGTCGCTACCAGGAACTCATCTAATCGCCGCTGTTCGAAAGGACTACGCCCGACAACGTTAGGAAGAACTTTGTGCTACTTGAAAAACGTATCAACGTTCGAAAGAACTTTGTGAAGACAAATCAACGATTCAACCCAAGACTAATCAACGATTCAAACCAAGGTATTTATCCTCGCGCGAAATATATGTGAGCTCTCTCTCTCCGGAATACGGGTAACCGAAAAAACTTACATATGTTAATTAACCCAATTATATATAGCTATTGCGATTGTATATAGTATGAACAATAAACGGGTATTACGTCTAGATGAGTTAGAGTGTAATTCCTCTGGTTCTCTCGGTACGCCTCCATCCCGGAACTAAAAGTCCACAAACGCGACCGTTCGCGTAACCAAATAAACGGCCAATTACTTTTTTCTGTGTCTACTACAAGACACAGTGGTGTCATCCTGACAGGGCGCCAGAGGTGCCGACCCTGCGGTCACAATACTAATCAGATGATACTCATCCATATCAGAAATTAGAATATTATGCATGACTTTTTCAAGTTCCAAGTGGATCATCTAGCCATGACTAAAATAGACCTTATTTATATCTTCACAAAGGCATATCTAGGAATGTCTGGTGAAGCAACTGCTTTCTCATCTAGACATAACTATAAGGTTAGGTTCAATTGCGAAAATTTTGAGACATGAACTTTAACCATTCAATATAACTTTCATCAATATGTTCACATTCAGTATTGCTAATGTGAATGAAATATTAGGTTGTTTGGAAAGCACGTTCGTTTTTTTTACCACTCGACAAATTGGTCTTATCTTTCCCACCATTTTCATTCTAAACTGTATTATCGTTATATATTTTGACAGTTAGCATTTTAAGGCTTATTTGTAAAAAATTTTGTTTGATTCTGTGCAATTGTTTATTTTTTGTGTCCCAGCAAATATGGAAGATTGAAAGCATCATTTTCGGCATATTTTGCTTTTTTATTACCAAAAAATTAAAATGCTGTTCAAGCAAGAAAAAAATTGTGGTACATGTATGAAGATGATGTGTGGAGAGAACAGAGACAACAGTGCCAAAACTGGTTTACAAAATTTCGTTCTGGCAATTTCAATATTGAAGATGCACCACGTTCTGGATGGCCAGTTGAAGCCAATGAGAACAAAACAAAGGTACTGATTGAAGCAAACTGACGAATAACAACACATGAAATCGCTAAGAGATTAAAGTTGTCAAATTGAACCGTTTATGATTACTCAAAACAAATTGGTTATGTTTCAAAGCTTGATATATGGGTTCCACATGTTCTTAAAGAGAGATGCTCTCTTTGGTGAGATTTTAAGGAAATTTTTTTTTTGGAGCTTTTACCAGACAATTTAACAATTGATTCGAAAGTGTACTGCCATCGAGTAAATAAATTGAGTAATATCATCAAACAGAAAAAGGTGGCCAGAATTGATCAACAAAACAGGTGTAGTGTTTTACCACAATAATGTCAAATTTCACACAAGTTCGATAACTCGTAACTTAGATGGGACATACTATCATACCAACCATATTCACCAGATCGAGCACACTCAGATTACTACTTTGTTCCGGTCTATACAAATTTTTTTAACTGTAATACATTTACTTGAAATGACAATGTCAAAAATCACTTGTATCAGTTTTTTGTAAGCAATGATCAAAACTTTTATGAATGTGAAATCATGCTACTACCAGAAATGATGACAACAGGTATTTGACCAAAATGGTTGATACATAATTCAATAAAATATTTATTTACAGTAGATCCCCCTATAAAACCGTTTCCTATAGTTATGATTCCTATAAAAATTGTGGCAGTATCCGTAAACAACGGTAAAAATAACTCCTATAATACGTAAAACGTCATCGGGCAGCCGAACTACTTTCCCGCCGTCCGTAGCACCACGCTACAGACGTTTAGGCGGATAAATTGAGTTTAGTATCGTCTGTTCATATAATTATATATAAATTAGGTACTGTACATATAATTATATATTAATTATATATAAATTAGGTACTGTATATATAATTATATATTAACTTAATTTATTGTAACTTTATTATAATTAAATATATGTTTTTCGCCGTCTAGCGTCACGCTACGGCGAGTTAGGCGACCTATCGTCTGTCCAGTACTGTAATTTTATACATTTCTTGTGAAAGAAACATTTCTTATTTAACGGCCATAAAAATTATTTATATTAAGGATGTCTCCAAAGGTCAACGAAGTTTTCGCAGAAAAATAATATCAGAAATCGCGGCCGCGGTTTGATGCGCTGTTCCGCGACGAAACCAAGCTTTAGCAACGGGCGTAGTCGAACGGTACACACTCGGTAAGCAATCCTACAATTTTTTGTTTATAACGTAGTTTATACGGATTATTTTCAAAAAAATATACGTATTTTGGAAATGTTGAGTCGAATTAGTCTAGAATCGATTAATTTTATGAAAGAAAACCTTTCAAACAGCCGTAGTCCGTAAACTATGATTCCTACAAAATTTATTCATAAAGAACGGAACGTATCTACCGTCTTATAGGGGGATCTACTGTATTATAAAAATATGGTGTTTTTTCCCACGGAAAAAAATGAACTTACTTTCCGAACAACCCAATACATTGTGTTCTCTAGACTTTTCCATTTTTGAATAATACCTGAAGAAGTTCAAAAATGTTCAAAATCACAGTATCTTCACTTAGTCCAGCAACTTTATTTCTTTGTAAAGAGAAATAAAGTTGATGGACTAAATAAAGATACTTGATTATATATTTGTTTCATCAACCAGTTTTATGAAGTATTTGCTCTTAAAAATAAAATAGTACTGACTTCTGTTTTCTATTCAGGTAAAAATGTAATGATTGAATAAGTAAAATTTAACATATTTATAAAAATCAATAACTTATCCTTAGAGCATTTCCAAGTTATTAATAAATCATTAGTATATCAAAAATACAATAGAGAGTATTTAGTAGAAAGAAGAAATTTAAAAATTTTATGTACATAACTACTGAGTTGAACAGAAAGTTTTGCATTTTTTTCAGGAAAAAACAATCAAAATAACGTTCTAAAAATAAAGTATATTCAATCAGTGAACAATTTAATTTCCATTATTTGCAGTTGCTTTCTCCCAACTTTTCAAAAGTTTATTGATTTGATTTGCATAAAAGTTTTATTGTTTGATTTAAAACATAATTGTACAGTACATCATATTTTAATACTTCAAAACTTCTTTACTATTAAAATAATTTTGTGATAACATAAATAAAAATTAGAAGACACTAAATGAAATGAATAGAGTGGATAATCTAAAAATTTCAATTTTTATACACTTAGTCCTTTTTTAAAAATATCATTTAATCTCTTTTACTTAAATCCTAGTACTTTTGGGCTTTCAGGAGTCTTTAGGAGTAACAACATTATTGTGACAAAAGTAGTGTGTGTCAACAGGTCCCTGATAACTGGGAACGCTGGATGAAGTTAGGAGAATAAATCAGAAAATTTGAGGAAATATACGAGATTAAAGAATGTTTGTTTTATCAGATGTGGATAATTTCTAATATTTAATATTCTTACCAGGCGGATGTAATGTTTGAGTTTTATGTCTTTCAGATGGAGTAGGTGAATAACATCTAATTGTTGTTCTATGTGGCAGTGTTTGAGAAATATTTGAAGGTGCATATGGACTGACCCGGCCATAATATCCAGGAGGTTGCATTGAAGACTTTGATACCTATTAAAAAACATAATAATATTAGTTTTAAGAATTATATCTTTTTCTTTTTTGTACTGAAATTAAGCAGTCAAAAAATATATATAATACTGGACCAATTATCCAGCAAGCTTGGGACTAAAGTGGTCTGGATTTTTGGACACAGGCTAAATATACACTTAAAATATAAAATAAGCAATGAAAAAACAAAATTGTATTTAAACAGATAAAAATTAATATACTTTCTAAAGCAGAATTGTTTGATAATCATTAATCCTCTTAAAATGTAGGATAAATAAGAAAATGAAATGACAAAAAATAAAAATCCTAATTGAAGTAGTGTCTTGTGATTTGTAAACTATAAAAATAAAAAAGAAATGGTTGCCCAGTAAAGTACAGATGTACTACAGCCTTCCAAAAATTCAAAATTAGCCAGTTTTGAAAATAGCTGGTTTTCTGGAAGTTGAATAATTGGTCCAATACTATATATACATATACAGGTATCCCTCATATAACATGGTAGTTACATTCCGAAAAACTGCCGTGTTATGTGAATCCGTGCTATACGAAACAACAAAGTGCAAAACATAGAGTTAGGTTCCAAAAGTTAACAAAAATATCCTATTCTTTTTTATTACTAAGAGTAATATGTTTATTAAAGCAATCAATAATTTATTTCCAATCAATATTTAAGTAGTGATAACAACTGAAAGTACTGTATCATGTGTTAATAGCAAGGTTGAAGCTGAAGTTTTAAACGCAAAAACATGTATGTCAGGCATTCAGCACCGCTTTCCTGTAAGCCTAGAAGTTTGACAATGGTGTTTGGATAGTCAGTGGAATCATGCTTGACATTCCAAACACCATTGTTAAACTTCTAGGCTTACAGGAAAGCAGCGCCAAACATCCAATGTACACATTTTCGCGTTTCAAACTTCAGCCTCAACCTCGCTAATATTAATTTTAGTAAAACGAGGGTATTTTCTTTTTACAAAGTTTTATTGTCTTCTGAGCATTTTTGTTTATCTTTATCAAAAATATCAGTAATGTCTTCATTTTTTTATTTTTATCATAAAAAATCTTTTATGAAAGACAAAATAAAAAAATGTTATTAATTGAAAATTTGTTCTAGCAGGTCGTATTTGTTCAGTCAAGTAGTGAGTCATTTTTTTTCATAATTTCCGTTCAAATACCAAATTGTTCAAGTTCAGAACAGTTTGAGTACCAAGATACTGCTGTATTTAGTTCATCATTTTTATGAATGATTACTTACCTGCAGTTAAAAACAACTTTTATAACACTTACCTGAAAATGTTTAAATAAACTTAACTAAATACAAAGATGAATCTATAAAACAAAACATATGACAACTTAAAAGCTAAAGTCTGAAAGCAACAACAATAACATCTGGTTGATAGGAAAGCTAGGATAAGAGAAAAAAATTGCACTATCAGTTGTCATTGAAGTAAATCTGACAAAAGGCACAAAACAAATTGAAAATTTCAACATTCTAAATGCCATGGAAAAATTTGAGATAACACATATGCTTACTTCAATAAAAAAAAAAAGTATTGAATTATGGAGTTTGCACTTAAAGATTGTGAAATTTTGTATACAAGATTTCCAAATTCTCAAACCATGTTAGAGCAAAACCATGTTGTATGAGGGATACCTGTATATTTATTTATTAATTTCAAGTACATTTTATTGTTAAAATATTACAATAAAATCTAACAAAATGCTTTAATACAGTAATAAATTACATAAAATAAAAAAGATTCAACTACTTTAGATTTTTTCACTTGTTGTCAGAAAAACTATCTACCAAACCTAGAAATAGAATATCATTGAATTTGTCATGGAATTTGTGAATGTGTAAACAAATCCCTAATCGAAATAATTTCAAAAAATAGCCAAGAGTAGGGAGCCTGAATGAGTTAATCATTTACAAGGGGAACACAGGAGGTTGTCATCACTGATTTCAACAAAATTTTGTGGACATGTAATATTTACTCATACATAAACTCTGCCAAAGCTGCAGGACCCACTATTCAGGCATTCTCAAGAAAATCATGATTAAAGTTTTTCTAGAATTATTAATATCTATGCAGAAGCACCATTTACATGTTCATGGCATGGCATGATTAGTTAAGGTGTTGCAAATCCCAAATGAGATAAATTATAAATGTAAAAAAAAAAATAACAATTTAATCTTATTGTTATTAAATTTAATGGAGAAATAACTTCATACCAAATGAAACTGGAAAGTAATACTAATAAAAAAACCTCAATCAACTTAGAGCCTTTTTTGTTTCCAGTACTGTTTAATGATAAACCAATGTTTAAAGACAAATGTTTTCAATCTAGGCAAGATCTTCCTCAGGTCTACATAAAATGGAATGTATTTTGGAATGTTAATAAATTTTTTAAAAAATGAAAATTTCAAACACAAAAAATAGCACAGTGCCAACATAACTATAGGAAGAGTACAAAAAAAGTATAAAAAATAAAAATTAAAAATATTAAAAATCAATGTATTCAGTATATTATTACAATGACGCAATTCCGTTATGTGTTTGCATCATCACTGTTCTCATGTACAGTACATATAGTGTTTTCCAAGCATATGACAGGCATTGTTCCTCTTTGAAGTTGATACAGCGGCCTTTGTTTTCCGATTTAAAAATGTCTCTGGCCTCCAGAGTTTCTATGTACTCAGGATGCTTAGATGTTTTGATTAGTTGCCTCATCAAGTAAGGAGTGCACATCATTATCAGACGCATAAGTGGACAGGATAGTGCTGTTTTTCTTTTTATTAATATCATATTTGTGTTTTGCTATTCTAACCTTGAGCAAGCATAATGTTGAGCCTATATATTCTAGATTGTTGCCAAATCAATCATCTCTCACAGGAACCTTGTAAACTCCTGGAATTCTGAGCAAGTTGTTACAATCCTTCCAGTTTTTAAGGATATTAAAAATGGTATGGTTGCATCTGAATGTTAATTGTATACCCCTATGTTTTGCTATTTCTTGATATATCAGTAGCTTGTAGAGAATCACACCTAAATGCAAAAATTTCCAGCAAATAAACCTATACCTTCAATAATTCAAACATTTTCAGCCACTACTTTATTGGCCCTCTTCAGGAAATGTAAAACAGAAAAACCATTCTATAAATAGAATGTAGCCGCATTATAATTTTAGAAGTTTCAAATAAGTTCGAATAAAAGCTATGACGTTTCCTTTATGACGTATATTTTATGAGTCTAAATAATATTTCCGTGCATTTGGTACATGAATGGCATCTGTGTTGATGCATGCTTCACTCGTCTGTCCTGTAGATCTCTACTGCTTCTAATGTTTTAAAGTTTTGCCAGTCCCACAACGGGAAAATCCCTGGATCACTGGCATAACGTGCCAGAGCTATATTAATGTTTCCTTTTCATACATCATATTTATGAACTTTTAGCCTAGCTTGCAACGATCTGTAAATGGATCCTATATACGTTAGTATTCTGTCAAACCTATTGTCCTGTAGAGGAATATGGTAAATTCCAGGCACTCTTGCATCCTCAGTGCCATCCTTTGCATTAGACTGAAGGTGGAAAATGTTGGGTTTCCTTTTGTACATTATGAGTATGTTTAAATCTTTTGCAATCCTTCTGTATATGTGATGAAAAATGGATTGTAGTTTAGGACTACCAAATTAGCTTCTGTTTTGTTAATGTTGTTATTGGTATTAGATGACACAGCCAGATGTGTGGACGCTAGTGTTGATAAATTAGCGGCTGTACCCATGGTTGGACGCAACTTGTTTCAGATACTGTAGTTCCTTGCTGGTACATGACATCTCTGTAGAATGCAAGTGGGCTCTCACTACCAGTGTGCAAAATGCAGATGCCTTATATGACCATGGGTCAGCTAAATCGGCCAGTATGAATAGCAGTGGCGTGCCGTGATATTTGATGATAGGAAAGCTGTGTTTTTGTAAGAAGCCGACTTCCAGGGGCGATCAGTTAATTCTTTAAATGTATTAGTATATATGTATTAGTATTTAAATGTAATAATTATTTAAATGTATTATGTTTAATAGATTATTTATCCGACGTAATTAATAAATAGTTATTAATAAACTTCAATATAATTACCTCTGTTATATTAGATTCAATAGATTCCGTATGCCCTCTAAATGCCGATTCTTGCTTTGATATAACATATAACATAACATCTATTAATTTAAATATATCTATTAGCTGTAACTATCTCATTATAATTTTCAATATTTATTTTATATTATTTACTAATGTTAAATTCTATTCCGCTTTGATTTCCAAACTGCTTCAAATACAAAAGAATCGACGATTTTTCGTGTCTTTTGCCAGCTAAATTGTCAAAGACATTCTTATTCCACACACTAAATTCATTTGAAAATAGTAGGCAAAGCCAACAAAACAATTTTTGTATTTTTGCATTTACAGAGCCATTTTATTGTGAAAATGTCAAACATTTTTTTTTTTTTGAAATGTTTATATTTAACTTAGGCATTGGCCTTTCTCTTTTAATAACATTTTCTTTTTCATTATATGATCTCGAGCCAAAACTTTCCTAAAATAAATTTTCAATATCGCAATTACATTCTGAATCGCTGGCCACGATATAAGGGCTAAAATTAAAAATAAAATTATAAAAACTTACTTGGTGAAATAAAATGTGTGGTGGATATACATACCTGGTACAAAATATTCTTCAATTGTACGAATATACTTTTAAAAAAAATTATAATTAAATATAGCTTTGTAAAGAAACGTACATAAAAATAACATAAAATCTTCTTTACTTTTTTAAATCTTATTTTTAAAACTCCAAAACCTTTAAACATCCAGTAGTAATCAATTTAATAATAAACAAACGTTTTCGAATCTAACGGATTTTAAGCCTGATGAAGACCGAGAGTACGGTCGAAAACGTTTGTTTATTGTTAAATTGATTACTACTGGACGTTTAAAGGTTTTGGAGTT